GACTGTGATTTGTTCCACTGTAGAGTCTCTCCAGGTGGCAACGTCGGATCCGATCACATCCCTGTGGTAATCAAGCTACAGTCCACTCTGTTCCGTACACCCACCCACCCTAAACCCAACCTGAAGACGCTAGGTTTCGACCCCTTTAGAGCCTTCTTAGGTAATGATCAAACCATCTCTCTCGAAGACCAGCCCTGCAATGCAATAGATGGGGCAATTAACTCCCTTCACGCCAGAATCAAAGAGGCCACACAAGCTTGCTGCACACTAACAAAGTCCAAGATTTACCAACAATACAAACCAACTAGGGAAATAAAGGACAGAATGAACAGTTACCAATTAGAATGCAGTAGACACTTCCTCACAGGGCAACCCTCCCGGGAAGCCCTACTGAGATCGAGAAGAGAGCTAATCGCCCTAATAACCCAGCATAAAAGAGATCTTTGGGAATATCTGGTGTGCCAAGCTAACCAGTACAAACGCCACCCTGACCAATTCTGGAGCACGATCCGCAGACTACTAGGGGCCAAACACACTCCCACTCAACACCTCTCTCACTCCTTCACCGACGCAAATGGTGAGGTAGTGACTACCCTTACACATTCTCTTACACAACGACAGCAGAAGATTTAACAACACCCACTATCAGTGGGTCAACCAATGGCGGGACGAGAACCTAGAAGACTTTCATCCTATTCCATCAATTAACACAGCTACCATTGAAGACGAACATCCCCTCACCAGACCAATCACGCTCGGAGAAGTATCCCAAGTCATAGGGCGACTGAGAAACACAGCTCCAGCCCCATCAGGCATAAGAGCTAAACATCTAAAGTACCTCCCCCGTAACTGCAAGATGTCTCTGGTGAATATCTACAATGCCATCTTGGCATCCGGTCACTTCCCAATGGCTTTCAAGACAGCTAAGATGATCTTCATCGCCAAACCAAACAAGGACAACCGCAATCCCGAGAACTACAGACCCATCTCCCTACTCGAAGTCACAGGCAAAGTCTTTGAAAGAATAATCTCCAACAGACTCAACTGTTACATGGAGTTCAACCACCTATTCTCTGAAAGGCAGTTCGGCTTCAGGTCCCACCGCAGCACTCAGCATGCCATAAACATCTATGATGCTGTGGCCAGCATGAAGAAGCAAGGAAACCTGGCCCTCATCGCCACCAGGGACGTTCACAAGGCCTTCGACAGCCTTTGGCACGACTGTCTCATTTACAAACTCGTAGACCTCCCTGATCACAACTGGACCTTTCTCAGGCTCATCTACAACTTTTTAACAGGAAGAAAAATCATCCCCACCTTCCACGGAGCGGAAGCAACTCCCTTCACACCAACAGCAGGAGTACCCCAAGGCTCCTGCCTCAGCCCCGTCCTCTTCAACATATACGTCAACGACCTCCCCCAACCTGAACATACCGACACCATCATCACCCAATTCGCAGACGATGTCATCCATGTTGTCTCCTCCACCCCTACAGCTGGTGCAAACAAGCATAGGAGAGCAATCGAGAAAATGAATGAAGAACTAAATAGAACTGCCAGGTGGGAGAAGAAATGGAGAATCACAACCATCCCTGACAAAGTCCCCATCAGCACCATTGGGTGCTTACCATCAACCATAGAAGAAAAAGGGGGCATTTCCATCAGAGGTACCCGTATTGCTATAAGGAATCCAAACAAGATCCTAGGATACGAGATCGGCCGATTACTCAACTCTACAACCCACGTAACCAAAAAAGTAAACCTAGCGAAAGCCCGCCTTGGCCAACTTTATCGATTCAAAGCAGCCCCTCCCCACATCAAACTTCACCTGTACAAGATGATGAACAGACCTCTGCTAGAATACCCCTGCGTACCCATGTCGATCACAACCAAAACCAACATGCTCAAACTCCAAAGAGTCCAAAACAAAGCCCTCTGCTTCATCACGAACACCAGACTCAGAGACAGAATCAGATCAGAGGACCTACACATACAACAGGGAATCCCCGCAATCAACGTCCGATTAGACAAACTTACTAAGAGACAACTATATGACATGAAGGAACTCTACGTGCCTGACAGAGAGAATCCCCCCCAACCAGTGAACACAACCGACTATACCATCACCACTCCTCCCCACAGATCCCAAAGAATGACCCTCCAACAAAGAGTTCGATGCTTTATCCACAAGGAGAACTTCCCTCGTCCCAATATCTTAAGCAACCTCCCCACAGACGAAGAATGGATACCACCAGAACCATTCTATGTCCAGTAACACGGACAAGCCCTCCCCATCTCCGGGTGACCCACTTCTATCAACCAACACCTCACAACTGACCTCGTTACATCTACTACTACAATACAGCAGGACACCACCTCAGTCACTGCCTTGCTGGCCGACTCCAGGTGAGCAACCAATCTCCATCGAATGCCCATTCACCTTCGCCTGCAGCTGTGCCTCCTGACCAACCTCTTGCGAAAAAAAAGGCAAGCAATTCTATGCAGTATGCATCCTTCCAATTCAATGACGCAGTGATATAACACAATATAGCATTGCGAAATTGATGGGAAGGAAGTATACCCTACACATATAACCAACCTCTTCATAAATCACTCAATATGCACACACGCATATTCAAATTACACCAAAGTGGATAGGCCACTACCCTTTTATATCCCCACCTACCCCTCCTCCCTCCCCAACCTTTCCCAAACTTCCATCCTTACCCATCCTTCTTCCCCCCCTCCCCTCTTACCAAAGATCTGGTCAGAACCTCGAACCTCGAACCTTTAATCTTGTCCCCCCCAGGATGCGACCCACACCAGTTGACTAACACCCAGTTACCTACTTAATGTTAGGTGAACAAGGACAACAGGTGTAAGGAAACATGCTCATCTTTTCGACCCATGCCGGGGATCGGACCACGGACTCTCGGAATGTGAACCGAATGCGGTGTGGAAAATTGCATTTAGTTGAATGTAACTAATTATGTACATAACAGTAAATGATAACAAAGATAATTATTATTTATCAATGTTACATAGACAAGTAGGAATTTGGGACACCTAGGTCGCAAAAAATGTCCCCCTTCGATACCTACCACTGTCATAACCACAAGTTGCTCTGGACCTATTAATTAAATGAAATATACATACACCAGGAATACTGGTAAATATATAAATTTCTGGACTGTATATTAAAAATAATAAATGGTTATATATATACACAATTACATAACAGAAGGAAAATATATCTTAATATCACTCACCAATTTGACTGGAGATTAATGTGTATCATACTCAGAAAACCTCACTCTAACTAAATCTATGAAAATAATGCTGGCCAGAATTACACACAAATCTAGAGAGCTTATCTGAGGTTCCTGGAGCTGTCTTGTCCAGTCGTCTGATATCTCAAGTTATGCAGGAATGCACATCCACCAATTTCGCCTCCTATTTGAGAGGTGTCAACACAATTTTAACCTCTAGAGCACGAAAAATTCTTCCCATTACACCGACGTTTGTATAAAATTCAAAACCAAGATGGCGAGTCTCGTCTGCGCAAACGCAGGCTTTCCGTTTTCTATGACATAAATATTATTAAATACAGTATGGCCATCTATTTACATATAAATACTGAATTTCTGGAAAATATGTACAGTATTTTCCACATGCGGTATCAATCGAGACACGGTGACCGAAAAGTAAAAGTGAGTGACTTATTTCCACTGTGCTTCTTAATATACACAGTATGTTGTGGCACCATTTATTTTTCCATAACTAGGAAAGACTTTTAGCTAAGGCCAGTATTGCATTGTATTTACGAGGGGAGCACTAAACCCATAGGTCTCGTACAGCACCTGTGGGAATAGGGAACATTCAGGTTCAACCTTATCTATGGAAAATGAATTGAGGCTCAATTCCAGGATCAAGAGCCCCTCACAGGAACCTCCCGTAAGGGTAAGGAAGTCATTAGTGTCAATTAGTTTAGGATTAATTTTCACAATGTTGCACTAGTAGGACCCTTCAAGGTTTTTAATCCAAGGAAATGGAACTTCCCTTCCTCCCCTTAGATCAGATCTGATTATTTCCTACTCCCTCCCCTCTCTCTTTGTGAACCTTACGGATTTAGCGCTTATCTGTGAATACGTCAATAATCATCTGGTATTAATCTGAAAAGTTTTCAGCCAGGCTAATTAATCAGGTCATTTAAATAGATATTAAACACAAAGACCCTAGTGGAAATAGGTCACTATGACTTTTTTGGGGGGATTATCCTACGTAACTTACACATGTTACTATGTATGATAATTGAACTTAATGTGTAATTGTACCTTGCATCACTAAAGATCATTGTTTATAAAAATATTATCCATGGTACAACCATTGTGTAAAGAATAATATATATTCGTGCTTGAAAATGCAGTTATTTATATTTGTATCGTATATTACTATGGAAGACACTTGTAATTATCCCCCAAAATACGTAATTGTGCCTATATAAACTTACTGGTGTTGCATATCTTTCAAGTAAGTTTATTTAGGTACAGGTACACATAAATACAATTATCATATATAGCGTAAGATATGATAAATTACCTAGGATAACCTAAAAATGTCAGACAGTGACTTATTTCCTCATTAATCAGTGCAAATAAGTAAGTCTTTTTTTCTGAGTTATCCTAGGTAATTTACGCTTATGGTATTATGTAAGACAATTCTAGTCATCCATAAGTGCGAGAGTTTTCAGCAAATAAGTTTGCTTTTTATGGAAATAAGTAACGTTGACTGACTTTTTGGGTTATCCTAGGTAATTCACAATACGTATGATAATTGTACTTATGTGTACCTGTGCTTAAATAAACTTAATTACTTATTTACATACTAAGGTGTTTGTTTATATTTCTGTGTCATTATTACCAGACATTTAAGTGAAGGTACAGCTTGCAAAAAGTGCTAAGTATAGCGGTATTGGCAGCTAGCTTGGCAACAGTGCTGGCAACATCGTCACCTAGAGTCCTTTCGGCGCCGTTCTCAGAGACAGCCTCTGGTGAGTTTATTTTTGGTGAGATTTCTTACGGTGACAGCCGCCGCCGCCACCAGTGGCTCTCACCATATTTTTCCATGAACGTTGCTGCGCCTCACCGATAACCCGGAAAGGTTAGTTGTTAACCGATGATCCCGATAAATGGGGATGGAAAATCTCATGGCGGTGTCTGCAGCGGACGTTTCTCAATCTTGTTATTCTCACTTGAATTATTTTTTTTTAGCTCTCTTTTGTAGCAATGCATGCACGAGGTTCACATGATTTTGAGTGACTCTTATGAGCACATATTGTTAACAGCGTTAGTTATCTAAGTATTTTCTTAACACTTCTAATGCCAAGAAGCCTAGAGCCTTTATTTGGCGCCTTCATTTTTTTTTTCCTCTTGTACATGACATATATATACACGAGGTGTGAATCACTTTATTTACCTAAATTTACCAGAATTATGGGCATTTCCATGTACATATAGTACAACAGTATAGGTAATGTAATGTGTCATTGAATGTCTGCTATTTGTCTGAATTGTGGCCTTTATGACTAATCATTAGAGTTTAATTAGGTACGATGTAATAATATATTTGGATGGTAACCATTGTCTTACATTGTAACATATACAGATAACCTTAAAGAACTAATACTTAGCATTTTGTAAAATAAAGTAAGAATTTAAAAACATTTGTAAATATCACAGTTTTTGGATAAAAGTAAACTTTAGTTGTGAAGTTTGAGGATCTCACAACTGTTTGAGTACTGAAGTAAATAACCTCCATATATAATGTTATTTTTCTCATTTTTATATGATTTTCTAGTATTTTCAGGATATTTCCAATTTAGCACTAAAATATTTCCATTAAAAATCTATTAATTTGAATTAAAAGTGCTTATCCTAGTTTAAGTCTACAATAATATGCCATTGTTATATTCTGAGAGTATTCATGTTCCCTCGGAACCATTGTAAAAATTTATACTACCAACTGTAAAATATTTGTCAGTTTGTCTGAATAAGGCTCATATGGATATCTTGTGAAGAAGTCGTCAGATTAGCAAATTATCCAGGTGACACTTTATCCAGCAACGTTCTGTAAATATTAATTTATACATTATTTTCTCAAGCCCATTCTTTCTCGTTCATTATTATTATTATAATCAAAAGAAGCACTAAACCCTTCTCATTCATGAGAATGTAAGAATTAAAGGTTTGGTTTTATAAATGCATGCCTGTAGTGGCTTTAAATTTCTATAATTTACATGTATAATGTATACATATATTGTTATTTTTATTCCAACTTTATTTGCAGGCTTTGGAAAGGTGTAGAATTAGAGATTTGAGGTGTACGGATGGATAAAAGAAAAAATAAAGGGGATATGCATAGCATTTTGAAAATATCTAGCCAAAGATAGGACTTGCAGCAGTGAATTCAACATTAAGAAATTTAGATTTAGAAAGAATATTGGGAAGTACTGGTTTGGCAATAGCAAGTTTATCACATACAGGTACACACATAATTACATAAATTATACATAGCAGCATATATGTAAATTACCTAGGATAACCCAAAAATGTCAGTGACTTAATTCCATTGGGTTATTGATGAATGGAAAAAACTCCCAGGTGGCATCAATGATGCAAGAACTTTGAGTATCTTTAAATATAGGTTTGATGGGTACTTGAGTATGTGTGAGTGGTTGGCATGGTAGGCATGGGCCTACTTGCCTATGCTAGGCATGTCCATGCTTCCTTTCTTGTCGAATAATGTCATTACAAGACAGCTTATTCGCAGTAAAATTGATTGTTCATTATGTTCATCATTAATAAATCTTAATTTGAGGAAAGGACAATAGGGAATTCTACTCGAAGGCGATACCTGCCTGCCGAAATCGGAATGTCTGGTCAACTTATCGTAACCTGACTGAGTCATACAGTCCATCAAAGTGTGACTCAAATGTCTTTGTTTTTTATTTATTTAGCTACATCTGTCTAGTTAAACAATTCAGATACTATTCATCATATGTTTCCTTGGCTGTTTTCCATCTTAAAATAATTTTCCAGGCAATAACTGACCATCAAGATTACCATCAAAATGCCTGAGCTCACAGAGATTGAGAAGACTTCTCCACCAGCAGCGGAAGCTGTAGAGGAGCCAGAGGCTGGCTCAGGTTCGGACTCTGATGCATCAGAGGTAAGATCGCTTTTTATGTTGCTAATGATGTGGAGAAGGAATATTGGTAAAGCAAGTTATTTTCAATAGTTGTCAAATGTCTACCTGTCTGTAGTACTGTAATGGTATTTCATTTTCATTCAGTAAATTTGTTGGCAGATGTAACCAAAAGGTGGATCACCATTCCTTGAAAATATAAACTTAGCTAATTATCAGAGACATGATAAAATGTGCTAAGTCAGCAAATTGGGGGACCTTACTCATAGAAAAAGGTTTTGGAAAAATAAGACTTGATTATTAAGCTCAGAGGGCTAGTAACTCGAGAAAGCCAACAATGACTTACTTTTATTAGGGTCCTCCTTAGGCCCCCCCCTCTCAGGGTGCAGCCCACAACAATAGACGAGCTCCTAGGTGTCTACTGATAGGAAACAAAGACAGCAGGTGTTTAATGATAGAGGTCATCTCAAGAGAGGTGCCTTGATGCCAATGTGAGGCTCCTGCTCCAAGGAATTTAATTCTTCCCATTTTTAGATTGAACCTAAATGCTTCTCATTCCCCAGGTGCTATATGACCTGGGCAAAATAAAAGTTGAGATTTTGAGGGCCATCAAAGCTTGCAACTTAAGTTCTACCTCCCTGGAGTCCAGGAAACATATACATGTATTACCCAAATCTTGGTTGGAAATGAAGAGTGAACAAAATTTCCTCCAAAAATAGGACCCTGAACAGTATGTTCCCATTTAGGTTAGGAGGGCCCTCTTGCCTAAACCCAGCAGAGCCAGACATCCACTTGCACCCCACCTGAGTAATAAATAACAGCCTCTTCCCAGGATTAGAAGGAGCAATGTTTGGTACCCTGACCAATTGTCCAGAAGGCATGGCGAGGACAAATGCTCCAGGAAAGAAAGTAGGAAATTTGTCAAGTCAACAGTAGAGTGGGATGTCCTCATTCCAGAGTCAGCACAGAAATCCTTTGATTAGGAGCCAAATGCCCCACTCTTCGGCAAACAGGCTTCTTCAAGCCTTGGAAATCCATAGAGAGGTGTAAAAAAAAAAAATGAATGGTGCCCTAGTTCAATTGCCCATTGGGCTATGTATGAGAACAGATATCCCTGAGGGATAATGGGAATTTGTCACTGATGCTTAGGACTGAATAGAGCAAGATGTCTGCACTTGACTCCAGTGTCTTACCAATACTGTTAAACTTCTTGAACAGAATTCAACTTCACTTGTGAGTTGAATGTGCTACCACTCCTATATATTAACTCCTGCATGATTTTTACCTAATTATTCCTTCTCCATTGTTTTTATTTTTTGTTTATCCTGTATGTATTTAATTTAACAATTTTCTTTCTTGTATACATAATAAATGTGTGGGGGTGATTTTTCAGTGTGCCAGTGTTGCTCCATGTCTGCTCATATAGACTACAAGATCAGATTTCCTTACACCATTGTAGTAGTTTTTTAATTTAAAACCCATAGAAAATTATTCAATTTTGTTTATACTGAACACTTGTATAGCAGTGTGTGCCACTGAGGTTAAAGCAGCATCCCTTATCCTACCCATATAGAAATTTTCTATTACACTATGCAAGCAGTCTCATCTATTTCTTCACTGGAATTGTTAGGCAATACTTATTCATACAGGAACATGTGCTATACTAAAAGTAATACAGGAAAATATTTGAGGTATTAATTAATAAAGCTTAATTGATAGGAAAATAAAACTAATAATATACAGTATTATGTACACAGTATGAATGAAAGTTAAGATAAGATTTTGTTTGGATTTTTAACCCAGAGGGTTAGCCACCCAGGATAACCCAAGAAAGTCAGTGCGTCATCGAGGATTGTCTGTCTTATTTCCACTGGGGTCGTTTAATCTTATCCCTCAGGATGCAGTCGACACCATTTGGCTAACACCCAGGTACCTACCTACTTGCTAAGTGAATGGGGACAGCAGGTGTAAGGAAACACTCCCAATGTTTCCACTTGGCTGGGAATTGAACCACGGACACTCAGTGTATGTGGCGAGAGTATTGCCTACCAGACTATGGGACACAAACTTAGTGCACCACCTGGGAATCAAACCCAGATTGCAAGAATGGGAATCTTGCATGATACCATTACATCAGCTGGATTTACCATTAAACCAGCAGCAGTGGTGAAATGGTGCTTAATCAATTAAGATTTAATAGCTGTGAGTAAAATTTTTTTGTTGAAATTGATAGGCATATATTATACCTGGAGTTTACCTGGAGAGAGTTCCGGGGGTCAACGCCCCCGCGGCCCGGTCTGTGACCAGGCCTCCTGGTGGATCAGAGCCTGATCAACCAGGCTGTTGCTGCTGGCTGCACGCAAACCAACGTACGAGCCACAGCCCGGCTGGTCAGGAACCGACTTTAGGTGCTTGTCCAGTGCCAGCTTGAAGACTGCCAGGGGTCTGTTGGTAATCCCCCTTATGTATGCTGGGAGGCAGTTGAACAGTCTCGGGCCCCTGACACTTATTGTATGGTCTCTTAACATGCTAGTGACACCCCTGCTTTTCATTGGGGGGATGTTGCATCGTCTGCCAAGTCTTTTGCTTTCGTAGTGAGTGATTTTCGTGTGCAAGTTCGGTACTAGTCCCTCTAGGATTTTCCAGGTGTATATAATCATGTATCTCTCCCGCCTGCGTTCCAGGGAATACAGGTTCAGGAACCTCAAGCGCTCCCAGTAATTGAGGTGTTTTATCTCCGTTATGCACGCCGTGAAGGTTCTCTGTACATTTTCTAGGTCAGCAATTTCACCTGCCTTGAAAGGTGCTGTTAGTGTGCAGCAATATTCCAGCCTAGATAGAACAAGTGACCTGAAGAGTGTCATCATGGGCTTGGCCTCCCTAGTTTTGAAGGTTCTCATTATCCATCCTGTCATTTTTCTAGCAGATGCGATTGATACAATGTTATGGTCCTTGAAGGTGAGATCCTCCGACATGATAAATCCCAGGTCTTTGACGTTGGTGTTTCGCTCTATTTTGTGGCCAGAATTTGTTTTGTACTTTGATGAAGATTTAATTTCCTCGTGTTTACCATATCTGAGTAATTGAAATTTCTGTAAATAATGACTAGAAGGAGCATAAATGAGTGTATTTTCCAGAATTTCAGATTATTGCCTATTTGGAAACAATTCTCTTGGTATTCTATCTCTAAACAATAAAACTTGGGTATTCATCTGGTTACATTCCTGGAGACACGGTGAACACCAAAAAGGAGAATAATTTTTCAGAACACCACATAAAAGGAAAACAAAATAAGATCAAATATGTAAAATTAGAGGGCATGCCAAGTGGTGAGGGATTGGGTAGGATGTTGTATGTCTTTAGAAACAACTGCTGCTATTTGTTTTTCCTCTTGACATGTATGTTAATTTTCTCTTGGGCTGTACTTGGGAACCTACCCAGTTTCCAGTACATTAAGCAGTCGGGTGTGTGTAGCCAATTGTTTCCACCAAAATAGAAAGCTGTTTTTTTTTTTAACAATATTATGATGGTGACTTACCACCCTTGCTGGGAATTAGCTCCATTGGTACTCTGTTGTATCACATAGTAGTAACCTTTGTTAAACACCTACAGTGTGCAGGCACCTTCATATATTTCTAATTTTAAAGTAGTGTTAACAGTAGCAGATATTGTTTTTGATACCTTGTTGAATGCATAATTGTATTCATAAGTCTCTTTTTACCTTTGTGGGTTAGTTTCCTCGTTAAGGGAGATTTGTTGAATAGTAATATGAGCAGTTAAGTACGTACATATTTCTGTTTGGAATATAGCATTATGGAGGCTTACGGTGTGGGTGGTGTCAAGTTTGGGAGTCCTAGAATATCATTAGTGAAAGTAGTCTATGGAGGAGAGTAAGCTGTTGAATACCCATCATTTTGGGGAAAATATTTGTTTAATATATTCTTTATTTCTTTTGTTTTTCTTTTTAGGTCACCCTACCTTGGTGGGATATGGCCGGTTTGTTAAAAAAAAAAAAAAATTATCCTAGAATTTGAGAATGTTTTCCAAAATGGTTTAGCTCCCATTTTTACATGTATTTTATTAGCGTGTTTGAAATTTAATTATATTAACGTGTTATTGAAAATATGTATCTAAATTTAGGAGATTAAGCTTAGTCTGTACTTCTTTTCATAGTGATGTTTTGTGTCCATTCACCATGGTACAGTATGCCATTAGTGAACAATAAGTTCTTTAAATTGTTATTAGTTTGGTCATAATGGATGGTGTGTTGTAGAGGTCTTATGTTTTGATAAAGTTGGTTACTGATATAGTGATGTTAGGTTAAGCACTTTAAAAGGAGGGGTTTGGGATATTGACAGTTTGGAGGGACTTTTAAGCTGTCGTATCTGAGCGCCTCTGCAAAGACAGTGATTATGTACGAGTGAGATGAAAGTGTTGAATGATTTTTTTTTATTATTTTTTATCACACTGGCTGATTCCCACCAAGGCAGGGTGGCCCGAAAAAGAAAAACTTTCACCATCATTCACTCCATCACTGTCTTGCCAGAAGGGTGCTTTACACTACAGTTTTTAAACTGCAACATTAACACCCCTCCTTCAGAGTGCAGGCACTGTACTTCCCATCTCCAGGACTCAAGTCCAGCCTGCCGGTTTCCCTGAACCCCTTCATAAATGTTACTTTGCTCACACTCCAACAGCACGTCAAGTATTAAAAACCATTCGTCTCCATTCACTCCTATCAAACACGCTCACGCACGCCTGCTGGAAGTCCAAGCCCCTCGCACACAAAACCTCCTTTTCCCCCTCCCTCCAACCTTTCCTAGGCCGACCCCTACCCCGCCTTCCTTCCACTACAGACTGATACACTCTTGAAGTCATTCTGTTTCGCTCCATTCTCTCTACATGTCCGAACCACCTCAACAACCCTTCCTCAGCCCTCTGGACAACAGTTTTGGTAATCCCGCACCTCCTCCTAACTTCCAAACTACGAATTCTCTGCATTATATTCACACCACACATTGCTCTCAGACTTGACATCTCCACTGCCTCCAGCCTTCTCCTCGCTGCAACATTCATCACCCATGCTTCACACCCATGAATGATGATGAAAGTATTTTCTTTTTGGGGATTTTCTTTCTTTTTTGGGTCACCCTGCCTCGGTGGGAGATGGCTGACTTGTTGAAAAAAAAAAAATGTTATTAAGCTCTCTTTTCCAGTTTCAGATCTTTTACTGCTGTGGTAAAATTGTTAATTGATTCATTATGGAATCTTTTTTTTTTTTTCTTTTCTTTTCATTTGTTTTCTTTAATTTTCTTTTTTCCTATTAGGGTTATGAAAAGGGGAAGCTTATAGTTTTTGAGTCATTTCTAAAGTGCAGACTGGTAGAAAAAGATTAGCAATGGGTTTTATCATCACTGGGATTAATAATTCTAATAAATTGTTATTTTTGTGCGTGTATATTTAGACACTTAGTCCCTACCCCATCGTCTTATGTCCGAAAAATTGCAATTCCTCCTCTCACACTGTCCTACGTACGTTTTATGGGGTATATTTTTCCATCAGACATTATGCAGGTGTTAGTGGGATAGTATGTTGGTCTAAATCTTGTCAGGTGCAGAAATAATGTTTCTGATTGTTGGATTGAGTTATTGACAGTACAACATTAGTAACTGGGAGTATATAGTACAATTTAATAAGTTTCAGTCATACGCTTGATAGAGATTATTAGTCTTAGTCACTAGTAATTTTTTGGGCTGCTTTTGTCCAGTTTGTTTTGAGGATTAGATTTCATAATTTATCATTGAAGTCAGTTATGTTAGTATTTAGGATTCTATATACAGCTCTTAATTGTTATCAGAATCTTAGCATTCGTTAACAGTTTGGGCAGATATATATTCTCCACAGGCATATGTAGATTTTATGATTTTTCTTAAATTTCATCTCATTTGCATAGTAAATTGCAATACCTCCCCTTTCTTATTAGGTCTACAGTTGCAAATGGATGAGTGTCCAGGTATGTTAAATACATTCGTTACTTGACCTTTTATCCAGGGATTTTAGAATTAAGTTGGTGTTAAGATATTCTAGTAAGGCTTTTAATGTCACTATTGTATTTAGGGGTCTGGCATTGTGGTTGAATACATTTATACATTTGCTGTTCTTAATGATATTTTTTGGCAAGGTTTGCAGTGCAGTATAGAATATTTCTTCATTATTACATTTATGGGGAAGTGCTAAACCCATAGGGGGCCATACAGCACCTGGGGCATGAGAGGCAATCAGGCTTGATTCAAGGAAGTGGAGAGTAACTTTAATTTCTTGGATCAAGAGTTTTTCACTGGCGTCAAAACACCTTACCTGAAAGCAGTATAGTACAGTAATAGAAATTTTGATCAGGATGTTGGCTGTAGTACATAATTTATACAGTAGTAGTTTTGAGTTCAGGATTATTAATATACTATAAATTATGAAATAGAGCGAGATTTAATTTCACTGAAAACAAATGTACATTTAAAACAGACTCCAGCTCTTGATTACAGCTGCACTTGATTCATTTATGGAAAAATACAATAAACCTGATGCAGCTGTGAGTGCCATATTGGGCCTCATGAATGAAACAAAAACAGTGCTATCTATGTTCACGTGTAGGAACAACATGCCAACATTCATTGAACTATAGAGCCAATGCATTGGAGTCATGTGAGTTTTGAAACAGCACCACAACGAAATAACCTATTATGACAGCCTCTTGTAAATACACATTCTGAGTTGCAAGAGAAAATGAGCCAAGACAAAATGAGCTGCTTACTACCAGTTGTTATAATACATAATATTGTGATGGCTTGGCTGCTGTCTTTTAAAAACTTTCTAACATGGCTTGTGCATTTCCTCTTGAATTTCAAAGGTATATGAAATAACTCTTAGGTTATGGCAATATTCAGGTAAAGACGTTGAGAAAAAGAACAGAAATTATGACTGATTACAACAGATACTCACCCATGCTGAGTACCAGCTCAGCTGTGTTCATTGGCTCTAATCACATGAGCCACATTAATAGAAACCACCCTTTTCTTTTTCCCCGGTTTGTTTCGGGTTCAAGATACTGCACGTGTTCCAACAAAACAGCCTGAAAGTGCAACATTTCAGTTAGTAAATGATGTCTGTAATATACACAGTCCAGTGGCTTAAGAAGGAATTAAGTCACATAATGTAATGAAATGGAATAGAGAGAGCTTTGCGATTAAATTAGTTATAGTACTGTACAGTTAATTACTCGCCAAGAAACTGTTGTATCATTTGGGGTTCATGAGCTGAATGACATGCTACTTAATTTGACTCGTCTAGATTGGCTTTGAAGTGTATTCCGAGTTAAAAAGAATTGAAGACCTATTGGAGGTCTTTTTCTGATGTGGCATAAGAACTTGTGTTAATATAAAATTTATGCTTTAATTTTAGTCATGGGATGGCCATTGGTAAATTTTTAAATTAAATCTAGAACAGCAAAAGCTGAATATAACAGATAATGGAAAAATAATGAAAACTAACCAAATGGCATGTTGAGCATTGGCAAATTAATCCTTAGTAGTTCCTGATGAACTGCATAGTAGTGAAACGTTTATACAAGCTTATTTCAGTCAAAATTGTGTATTTGTCATGAAGTATTTTATGGTGTACTTTAAAGGGTAGAGAGGCAGTTTGTGGGTTAAGAAGTTTTTGTAGGAGGGTCTAAGTGGTACATGATCCAAGATGTTTGGAAGTGTAAAATGGCTCACTGCAGTTTTAATTTGAAAGTATTATAATTTTTGTATATGCACTTGCTGTGCCTGGTTGCCAACACAAATCTATATATATACAGTGGTACTTCAAGTTATGAACTTAATTCGTTCCAGAAGGCTGTTCGAGTGCCATTACTGAACGAATTTGTTTCCTAAAGGAATAATGTAAATTAGATTAGTCTGTTTCAGACCCCTAAAAATGCACTTACGAAAGCACTTACAAAAACACAATTACAGAATTGTTCGAGTTGGGAGCTGTTCGAAACTTGAGGTACCACTGTATATACATGTATACATGTCATGCCTGGTTTATGTTAAGGTTAATCTCTTAATTGGGCTTTGTTGAGATAGTCAGCAGAGCTCCTCATGATGACTTGATCATTCATCAGCTTACTGTGTACCATTAATTTTTGGTGGCCACAACAGTGAAAGAGTTAATATACTTTAGTATTTGTGTTTACTTACCAACAAATTGGAAATAGTGGGAGAACATTCCCCCATTATTGGTGAAGTCCAGCAAACTAATTCTGTATTAAAGGTAAATTCAGTCTTGCACATGGATCAAAGATGTACTTTTATCATGAACATGTACCAAGATGAGGGTTTAACAGATGATGATGTGACCAGGCACTCAGGATACTCTCCTATTAACTAAGGCTTCCTGAACCTTTTAGTTTTGTCACATTAATTAATGCTAAATCAGAGATCATCTTCTCTGGCCACTTTACATTAATTGTAACACTACTTTTGGCACACTTATGAAATTACCAGATGGTAATCATCCAGTGCATCAGAATGAAATGGTCCTTTCAAGATAAGGGAAACTGCAATCATTGTGGACATGTATATACATGTACAGACCCAATGCATTGGTACATTCTCTGATTTACACAAATATCAACAGCATGATTGAAGCCTGGTGAAAGGGGGGGGGAGTGGAGAAACGGCTTGCTTATTTGTGGAAAGCGTTTGCGGAGGTTGTTGGTAAGAACGCAAGTGAAATTAGGCTAACAGCACACAGTAGCCCAGGAGCTAGATATTTGTCAGAACATTTGGCAGTTGAGCCAGATTTAAGGGATCTGTCTCCCAGGGCATAGTCACCTGCCTCTAAATTGGAAAATGGTAACTCAGTCATTATGGAAGTAATTTCCTATGCATATTCACCGAAATACCTGCTGTGAGGGAAAGGTGAACATAAGAAAGACTAATCTGATAGTCTTAGGATGTTATGTTTTAAGGGCTATAGATGCTTGAAATATTAAGTATCTGGCTACACCAACATCAAATAAGTATGTAGAAGTATAAATTATAATTAAATCTTAGTCTACCTGAGCATAGTAACGAAAGCTAGCACATATATAGGTAAGTATTTTTATGTATAAAGTCTTTGGCATTGTTTTATTTCCAATACCATATGTCCCACTTTAAACCTTAAACTGTAGCATACCTGGAAATTAAATTTTCTGTGTAGTAAGATTTTGAAAAAAAAAAAGTCATGTTTTCTTATAGATTGAAGGAGTGCATTTTTATAAATTGAATGAGACTAAAATGATTGGAATTGGTAAAAACATAAGATTTTATGGTGTTGAAGTTGGCAAAAAAAATTATCACTTGTTGGCAATAGTAGCATAAATGTACCAGCGATATTTCTTTTACAATTTATTGATGCTTAATCATAATTTTTTCAGTTTTCTTATTTTTAGTGCTTAACACTATGTATACTAGTTTCTTATGGTATTAGATGTCTCCAAGGTTTGGGAGGGAGATGCATAGCCCATCATTGCTCCACTTGGAATATACAGTATAAATTGGTGCAGATAATTTTTGTTTTACTGGTTTAGTGTTCTAACAAAGAATACTTTTCATACTAAAATATTTTCAGTGTGTAATACTTGGTTAATTATTGTAAAGTTAGGTTTGAGGGAATATCCTGGGGTATATTCAAACAATATACAGGTCTCCCTCCACATTTGTGAGTTCCACTTTCTTGGGCTTCGAACATTCGCAAATACCCAGCTGCCCTATCATATTTAAAATATGTCATTACGTATGCTAGGAATTGTGGTAGTGGCAAAGTTTGTTTGGAGATAGAAGATGGTCCTTCAGTATGAATAATATCAGCTCTACGGTTTATTTATCACAATTCATCTAATATGACATAATAAACAATATTAATAACATAGAAACATGCCATATACCCTAGAATGAATAAAATGTCATTAAGTATGTCACGAGTGTTGCTGTGTTGTTGTTGTTGTATGGTGTATAAGGGCCACTGAGAGCATAAGCCATGCACAGTGGTGGTGAAGGCGGCATCAGAGGTGGTAGAGATGGCGGTGTTGTCAGTCACACTATAGTATAACTCGAACAACGTTGGAGGAGTTAGGTTCGTGCTGTCCTTTTTCTATCGATTAATTGCTCAACTTGCTTGCTACACTGTTAATGCTACACTTTATCACTGGCTGGCACTATAGCCTTTATTAATTTGTGCTGCTTTAGTATTGTACATGTTGTTAGAATCACTGAAGAAGGCACATTCTCCCTTCTCTCTTCCTCCTCCACTTTGGTACTCTGCGACAAGTTCTTTCTTGAATTCTATAGTCTTTCTCACCTTTACCAAAGGGCTGGCACTAATACAATATTTTATGATGTTTTCATGTGTTTTATGATTGTTCATGGTTCAATAGGTTAAGGAAGCAGTATTGTTAGGCTAAGTAAATGCTGTTATTATATTTTCCTAAAAAATAAATATATATATATTTATATATAATATATATATATATATATATATATATATATTATATATATATATATTATATATATATATATATATATATATATATATTATATATATATATATATATATATATATATATATATATATATATATATATATATATATTAAATTTTATATATATATATATATATATATATATATATATATATATATATATATATATATATATTTATATATATATATATATATATATATATATATATATATTATATATATATATATATATATATATATATATATATATATATATATATATATATTTATATTATATATATGTCGTGCCGAATATGTAAAACTGGTCAATTAGCAAGAACTCATTTAAAATTAAGTCCTTTCTAAAATTTTCTCTTATACGTTTAAAGATATATTTTTTTCATTAATGTTGATGTAAAAATTTATAATTTTGCACCAAAAGGAACTTTGAAAACTTACCTAACCTTA